CATCAAATTTTGGGGTAAAAAAGTGCGTCTTATACACCGAAAAATACGGTAATCTCTCAAAAAATACCCAAAGGGTTGTTATTGGCCAGCTTCTATCAACAACTCTAACTAAAACCTTGTCCTCTACTTGCCACCCATTCCAGTGGACTATATCAATGTTGTTACATCCTTATATTTTGTTTGGTTCTAATTAATCCCTTGTTTATGGACTGGGAATTATACAATAGTTATAAGATACCATGATTTTATTATTTTTAATCTTAAGCCAATTTCTAGTTACATTACTAATACTTGAAAAAGAAAGACATCGCTATCACACCTGTCTCTCCAACACCATCCTGTTGTTCTCCAAATTTTGGGTAACTGTTCTCTCACTTGCAAGCTCGGCTGTTAGTTGTTCTATCTGAAAGTAGAAAACCTTACTTCATCATCGTAACTCAATTATTAATAATATTATTAATAACTTTATTACAGTATTGCACACCTGACCAGTGCCAGTACAATAAGACCTTCAAATAATAAACAACATTAAATTAGATACATAATTTAAAACCTTTTTTAATAGTGTGTCTATTTGTTTATTTATTATTCCAACATTATACACAAGTGTCAAGAAAAACAATATCTAACAATAAAACCTTCATCATCACAACTTTTTCATTAACCTAAACTTGTTGTCAACCGGCACGTTCTTTATCCTTAGTTTTGATTTTCAAAAAATTTTATTTGTCAATAATGCTATGTTTCCAGACTCTATGAAATTTATGGATGGCACATGATCCAATGAAGTTATAGATTTTCTGACCCGTCAGACTCTTTTTCGCCAACTAAGCTACCACTTCTTAAATTTTGTCCTTAATTACTACTGAAGAGCAAATTATGATTTAGCTAAAGCACCTGCCCGCTTAGTAGAATCAGGAGTTCAAGTTTCAGGTACGTTTTTCATGACTCCATTGTTTAATTAAACAGTTTCCTGTTCTAAATTTTCCAAACATTTATGGTTTGTTATGTTTATAAATTCTATCAGTTACCATACCTGTGTCTGAGCTTTTCTAGCCTTGTCCATTATGTTTTCCGAGTTACTTTGTATGGTTTGTTATGTTTACAAATTTGATCAGTTACTGTTCCTGTGTCTGAGCTTTTCTAGCCTTGTCCATTATGTTTTCCGAGTTACTTTGTATGGTTTGTTATGTTTACAAATTCTATCAGTTACCATACCTGTGTCTGAGCTTTTCTTGCCTTGTCCATTATGTTTTCCGAGTTACTTTGTTCTTCTTCTACCTCCTCTTCCAATTGTTGAATTTTAGCCTCAAGATGACGCTTCTCATCTTGAAGAAGTGATCTATGCAAAATATATGAAAGATCATGCTTAAGTAAGAAACATAAATATTACAGATTGATATGTTAGAAGATGAACAACACTAAGTACTGTTACTTACAACTTAAAAAGTCGTGAATGATCACAAAAAGATATAATAAAAAGAACACTTTAAATCTGAACATTTTTACAAGGTTGCCTTCCTTCTTCAAATTAAAATGTTCTTAGGTTTTGTGTTTTCCCTCTAAGTAGTCTTTATCACCAGTAGGGACAGAACAGACAGTACTTAAATAGTGTCATGTCCAGAAGGATGTGAGCATACAATATTTAAGTAGTGTCATGTCCAGAAGGATGTGAACGTACAATATTTAAGTAGTGTCATGTCCAGAACGATTTGAACGTACAATATTTAAGTAGTGTCATGTCCAGAAGGAACTGAACGTACAATATTTAAAATTGCTCTAATGAAAAGATATCATAACAAGACAACAGAAGGAAGTGTTTGAAAAGTGATGTTATAAATGAAGGACGAAGATCACTTACACAGAAAGAATTGAAACGTAAAAACTGCTCGATACATGTATGAATCAGAAGATAAACTTCTTAGGGCACATAATCAGATCTGATGGAAGTCTGGTAGAGACTTTATAACCAAACAACGAAGAGCAAGAGACAGACAGAGATTTACTTGGCTCAACGACATTAGAAAATCGATTGGAGATAAGAAGCTTGAAATGGTAAAGTTGGTGCTAGTAGTGAGGGATGAAGAACAATGGAGAACATAGTCGTTGGTGCTAGTAGTGAGGGATAAAGAACAATGGAGAACATAGTCGTTGGTGCTAGTAGTGAGGGATGAAGAACAATGGAGAACATAGTCGTTGGTGCTAGTAGTGAGAGATAAAGAACAATGGAGACCATAGTCGTTGGTGCTGGTAGTGAGGGATGAAGAACAATGGAGAACATAGTCGTTGGTGCTAGTAGTGAGAGATAAAGAACAATGGAGACCATAGTCGTTGGTGCTGGTAGTGAGGGATAAAGAACAATGGGGAACATAGTCGTTGACACCACGATTGGTTGGCAGTGAGAAGAAACTAACTGCACACCTTGAGAAATGAAATATAGTAGTAGCTGGGTGTTAAGTAAAGGCTTACCCCTTTGATACGGTATTGTTTACTTCTTCTTGCAGCTCATCTCTCTCGAGTTCTGCTGAACGACGGGCTCGCTCCGAATTGGATAGGTCCTCTCGTAGCTGAATCATTTCTGCTTCCATTAATTTCACCTTTTTCTCAGCTTCCTTAAACTGAGTTGTCAGTTCCTCACCAGAGATTCGGGATTCCTCTGCATCTTTCTGGCAGTCCTTTACTTGTGTCTATAAGAAACAGTATTCAGGATGGAGATGTAAAATCACAAAGGATAAATGAACAAGAAAGTAAAAGACAAGTGGTGTATACTTAATTATAATTCTGATTTACTCTTTAAGATAAATGCTTTTATAATTGTTATTAATATTCTCATCCCTTTAACTTCCAATGTCCTCTAGACAAAAATGAAGCTGTACTCGTCTTGTTAAAGCCAACAGTCCAATAAATGGTTTTTTTTTCATTCAGGTTATAAATGTATTAAAAAATGTTTACGTTTATGGAAATATGTATAGTATTTAACATAACTATGCTGTAATTAAGCATAAGACAAAGATTTACAGTTCTAGCCTCTTCCAACCTATGAGCTATAGCATCCAAAAAACTTTCCAGCAGCACCAGGAAGTATGGTTCTTCAGAGTGTAAAGAACCTAGTGTAACTTCAAACAGTATCTCTCAGTTTTGAAATGTATATATAAAATTTCCTTTTCAGCTTAAGATTGTACAGTGTTTTCAATATCCACACCAATTCTTTAAGTTTCATCCTCCTGGTCCGTTCCACATTTTAAGTACACGATAATGATATAGAATATCATTTATTAAAAATGATTTGTGATGGAGAAAACAACGTTTTCACCAGAATTGTCAGTTTTATTTAGGAAAGTCTCGACATGATTGTTTGAACACCGTGCTATACTGCATGAATAGTTTTTCTCACAAACTAGCATTTATTTCAACGACACAAGATTAGTGACTTAAATATATGCATGTCAATGTGCGTAATACTTTGAGAACCAACAGCCAGTAGAGATGATTGTTTGAATGAACTTCATTGATGGATAGTCTTGATACACTGACTAAGAATAATGAAAACTATATCGAATGCCTTTCGCGACAACTTTTTTAGTAAAACTTACGATCTTCAGTGCACCTCTAGTGAAACTAAATTCCACAAAAAAAAAAAAACAGTTTTTAAAATATAATAATTTTAATTATCAAATTTCATTTTGTAGTCCCTCTCCTGTACTAAATTTGATATTCTATTCCTGGAAATAATAATGGGGAAGGAACTGTAATAAGACAAAAAGCTGGGAACAAATAATTTGTGTATACATATTGAATTTCTTTACTTAATCCAAAAAAATATTTGAAAACATTGCTAGCAGTGAGGGTACCCAACAGATGACCTAGGGCAGATGGTCGCAGAAGCTTACTGTAGTTTGCCTATTACTCCACCAGGGAAAGTGACAGAGGTTATGTTTCTAGAAAGTCAAGGTCACGAAAATAAAAAAATCCCCATCTGTTAACGCAGGTACTGATTTTTCACATCATTTTTGCTCTTTTACTCAGTAAAATATGATCGGATTTCGAGGAAACTGGTGGACATATGTAGAATATTATTCCTCATTGAATTGCCAAAAATGGTCCATGTTTGTCGATAAGGATGGACATAGGGACACATTTTCATATTTTTTTGAAATCCGATTATGATCAACGCTGCATGGCGGAGGTATGCACTTTATGGAGTGCCCTCTAGTTATAAATTGTAATTATTACTGCAGAATTTTAGCAGCTCTTCTGGTAGAAGTTATTATATATTTATTACTGTCAATTAGAAATCCATACCTGAAGCTTCTTAAGTTGCCGTAAAGCATCTTCTTTCATCCTTGTGGCAAGCTCAAGTTGTTGTTCTAAATCCTTGAAGTCCCCTTCTATCTTCTTCCTGGCATTTGTTGCTGTTGCTCGTTGTTTCCTCTCTTCTTCCAATTCTGTCTCCAGATCACGAACCTTGGGGGAAGGGACAGCTCTGTGTAAATGTCACCTTCTTGGCACATAAAATATTAAAATGTTCTAGATAACATACAATATATTAGCTGACTCTGTGTAAATGTCACCTTCTTGGCACATAAAATATTAAAATGTTCTAGATAACATACAATATATTAGCTGACTCTGCCAACTTGACCATACGTCGGCTGAGCTATCCTACATGTTTAATAATATTAATAAAGACACTATTCCAACTTGACCATACGTTGGCTGAACTGTCCTACATGTTTAATAATGTTAATAAAGACACTATTCCAACTTGACCATACGTTGGCTGAACTGTCCTACATGTTTAATAATGTTAATAAAGACACTATTCCAACTTGACTGTATGTTGCCTGAGCTGCCCCATCTGTTTAATGATATTAATAAAGACATTCTTTGTAATATAATCAATTATTTCATGAACTATTTGACAGTGGTTGAACATTTCACTTCCATAATACAGTCAAGTTTTATCCTCACCTGTTTCGTCAGTGCTCTTTTCTTCTCCTCTGCTTGTTCTTCTTTTGCCTGTATATCTCGTTCAAACTGAGACTTCAACGCCTGTATGTTAACTTCCAGTCGCAGCTTAGCATCTTCAGTCAGCTGTAGTTCATCCTCCAACTCATCGATCTGCGTCTTCTGTTCGACTAGTTGACTCTCAAGAGTTCGTTTTGCTCTTTCCAGTTCATGCAGCTAAAATGTTTGCTAATTAACTTATCGGTTTTCTTGTACAATTATCAAACTAAACTTTTTTGTTGTACTTAAAAAGAAAAGAAACCTTACAGTAAAAAAAAAAAAAACAAGCAGAAAAGTTTCTTAATGTTTAATAATAAAACATCCCCATAAATCACAGTAGTACTAATTATCTGGTATGTCTGAGGTTGCCTTTATGATCTATGGAAAGCATGTATGATATAAAAGAGAGTAAGCAGAACTAAAGAATCTCATTAACTCGAAGCTTGTAGTTTAGGAAATAAAGCTAAACTGACTATAATCTTTGAAAGCTCTTGAGTTATAAATTAAGTTATATCTCTAGTTTACAAAAATAGCACATATTTTTCTTTCTTTACTACATCAAGTATAACACTACTTGCTCGTATCTCACATTACTTTACTGTCTTTTTGTTTTAGAGCACAGTAAAAATTTTGTAACAAAACCTACAAATCAACTGAATATTAAAAATTAGAAATTTTAGTTTTTTTAACCCCTTCTGTGTCCAGGTTTTTTTTTTAATTTTGCATTTTGATAGCCTATTGTAATACATGATAACCCCCAAATAAGTTTGGGCAAATAATAAAAAATATGGGGAGAAATGGTTTGCCCAAATTCACTCAGGCAAATATTTTTTGAAACATGGAGAGCACCGGAATTATTTCGGGCAAATCACAGGAGTTAAACCAAGTAATAAGTAAAATGATTTTGCTCAAGTGCCCGTCTTATACAAAATTTTACATAATGCACTACAGTAGTTTCTTAGCGCAAGCAGTTTCAGAGCTCAACATGCTTATTAAAGAATACCTTACATTATTTCATGTATTTCTAACTTAATATTCATTCAAGCCTTGATTTGTTAGATGTTATTTATAATGATGAAAAGATCAACGAAACATTTTTGGATCTGTTTTTCTCCAGGTTATATCAGTTTTAGGGAATAATACTCTTGATTTTTTATCCGTTGGGCTAAGATAATGCTTTAAAAAGATTGTCTCACAAACTCAATGATCAGGCTTTCAAGTCTCCTCTTCTTAACAGAAATTATTAAAAACAAATTAGCAAGGTATATTAAAAGTACCTGAACTAATAGTTAGTACAATTTCTACCCGTTCCCCGAACTCCTCCAATGTTTTTTAATTTGTATATTTAGCAGTAGGGATAAACAACACAAATATATCTTTTTCAAACTTAGTCCAATAGTTTGAGATAATATATATATATGCTACTAATACAAGTACACTATCACATGAAAATCATGGTGTTTAAGTCAAATAAACCTACATTTTTATCGGCTGTTCCCTGTGTGTTGACCAGTTCATCCAGTTCTGACTGCAGTGACCGACGAGCTCGTTCTAACTCCTCCATCTGATTGCTTCTCTCGTCTAGATCCCGGGTCAGGGACAAAATCTTAGTTTCTTTTTCTCTCACTTCTCGCTCAGCACTATCTTTTTCCTGAGTGATTTTTTCAGATACTGTCTTTTCTTCAGCAAGCAGTTGATCAAACTTACGCTGCTTCTTTTCTAGGTCTGCTACTTTGCCTCGGTAGCCTTCAAGCTCCACATTCAGATCTTCTACCTATAAACATGTGAATCAACGACAAGTCTCTCTTAGCATGCATGAAAAATACAAGATATTTTAAAATATAATTTCAATTACACACAGTTGTGTGTCACGAGTAAATCCAGTGTAATTACACACAGTTGTGTGTCACGAGTAAGTCCAGTGTAATTACACACAGTTGTGTGTCACGAGTAAGTCCAGTGTAATTACACACAGTTGTGTGTCACGAGTAAGTCCAGTGTAATTACACACAGTTGTGTGTCACGAGTAAGTCCAGTGTAATTAAATACGGTTGTGTGTCACGAGTAAGTCCAGTGTAATTAAATACGGTTGTGTGTCACGAGTAAGTCCAGTGTAATTACACACAGTTGTGTGTCACGAGTAAGTCCCGTGTAATTAAACACTGTTGTATGTCACGAGTAAGTCCCGTGTAATTAAACACGGTTGTGTGTCACGAGTAATTATGCAACTTATTGATATTTTACTTGGTTGCAAAAATATATAACCATTCCTTAATGATAATTAAAAAGAGGATAATAATAATAATTAATCACCTGAGATAACTGTGCCAGTAATTTGTTAGACTTCCAGGATTTTATAAGAACAACCACCTCTAAAGGTAGCATAATTTGTCTCATAAAACAATTTTATGTTAAACTCGATCAGAATTAAATTTTTGGCACTTTTTCAACAAACACAGTAGAAACCAACATTTTATAAGTTAGCCTGTTTTCTAGGTACACTCTTTTGATACAGAAATGTAGCCAGTTGCTAGTGATGCCAGTATTAACGGACAACTAATAACCATGTTGATATTTTTAGTATGATCTGTAGAATTTTGACGCAAACCTGTGATGGCCAAGTCAAATCTAAACTCTGAATATACTTATTAACTATTTATAACCAAACAAATAAAACTTTTATTGATGATAGGAAAGATTTATGTTACCTCGACTTGAAGTTTTTTCTTGGACTTCTCCAGTTTGTCGTTAAAAGCCCGATTCTCTTCGAGGTCATTTTGTAAATACTCTATGTCTTTCATCAACTTCTTCTTCAGCTCTTCTAAAGTACTATTCTGTTCATCACTTTCATCAACTTTCTTCTTCAGATCTTGCACCTGTTATTGGTTTTTGAACTTCTGGTGAAACTGGCATTTTACTTTAAACATGAAAATTAGTATTGTCACACATTAACATAAAATACCTACTAAAAATTAATCATGTCGATACGAGAGGCTTTATCTATTCCATTGTCTTTTCTTACCAAGTTAAAATTAGTAACTTAGTCTAATAAAGATGTATTACAAAACACTCATGTATTTGGATTTAACTTCTTTGAATTTTGTTGTCCACATTGCAAAAACTCTTAATGTATAAACATTTAGGCAACTGAATTCATTTTAACCTGGCATTTTTTATGTTACATTAACAACAGTTCTTCGATATTTAAGTTTAACGCACTGATTATAGCATTATCTAAAGCTAAAATATGATGCCAATTAACTTTAATTTTACTTATTTTAACATTAACAACAAAGTTGACCTACCTGAGTAGATAAACCTGACATCTGTTTCTCCAGGTTTTTTAACATTAACAACAAAGCTGACCTACCTGAGTAGATAAACCTGACATCTGTTTCTCCAGGTTTTTTAACATTAACAACAAAGCTGACCTATCTGAGTAGATAAACCTTACATCTGTTTCTCCAGGTTTTTTAACATTAACAACAAAGTTGACCTACCTGAGTAGATAAACCTGACATTTGTTTCTCCAGGTTTTTTAACATTAACAACAAAGTTGACCTACCTGAGTAGATAAACCTGACATTTGTTTCTCCAGGTTTTTTAACATTAACAACAAA